GAAAAATGTTGGACTATTGAAGAGAATGCAGGATAAAGTGACAGAAATTAACCCTGAGCAGAAATAGGTATTTTTGCATTGTATTATACATCAGGAAGTGTTGTGTAAGTCAGTGTTAAAAATTAACCATGTTGTTGATGTTGTAACTAAAATAGTTAAAGCTCCCATGTCATGCTTTTCCGGTTATTACCCGTCCCCTTGTGTGTTATGAAGGTTTTTATGCATGTAAACGGTGTGCAGAGTCAAAACCCTCAAAGTACACCCTGTAGCGAGTAAAACTCTAACACAGAAAATACCTCCCCAAAACGCCTCGTTGGAGATACGTCACTGCCCATTTGAGTCTTCCATTTAGTTCCGGGTACCGCCTGATGTCATGCGGTACCCGGAACGAAATGGACCAATCCCGAAGAGCTATGGCCACACCAGCAGCGGCGTGTTCCTCCTCCAGAGGTTCGAAGAACCGGCATTTCACAGACGAAAGCTTCCAAAACATTGCCCAGTTTGAGGCCGGATATGCACAGCTTGTTTGGACCGTTTGGAGCAGGGGAAGATCTGGGTATACAACCTGTAAGTTTGCATTGTTATTTGTGTATTTATCAAACAAGACTGTTTAAATGTGTAAACTGTGTTGGACTGCTAAGCCATTGACACAGTGCTAACTGTGCTAACTAAGTTGCTAGAGTTTCCATATATCAACTCTAATATCAGCAGATGGCCTTGCATACATGTATCTCATAGCAGGAGAATGTCTGCATTCACACACAAAATACCTATTGACAGTATACTCCGGGTGATTTGCCGGTCAGTCGCGAAACGTAATTACATTATAGCTGGCGTAGCGATCTAACACACGGAGCTAGAGCTAGTTTTGGTCAGAAAAACATTTTTGTGATGCTACGTTGCTAGCGTTTAAATATATCAACTACAATGTCAGCAGATGGCCTTACATGTTTGTCATGGCAGGAGAATGTCTGCAGTCACACACACGGAATACTCATACAGTATACTGTACTGTGATTTACCGTACATTGTGACCGTACATATACTGCATGTAGCTAACGAGGCTAGCTGTATGCTAGCGCAAAACAATGTATTCATGCAAGTTACATTGTATGACCGAACGTAGCAGAATACCCGTATACGATTGCAATTATAAACACGTTATTGCTAGCCTAATATGAACCACTAGCTTTTGTTCATAGTAGTTTTATTACACTGCATTATAGTTGCCTTTCCTCCAAGCTAACGTTCATATCGTGTTAGCTACCAAGGTAAACAAAGCTAGGTTAGCATATTAGCAGGCAAGCTGTTCATTACACAACTACTACTAACGAGTCTAAAACAGCTAAGTTTCTCTAATATTTTGTGATTTGCATTTGATTTCGTCCAGCTCTACTACTACTGAGGGTGCTAAAAGGCACCGCACCGACTGTGCGCAGGCAAGATGCGAGGAGGAGGAATGGATGATATACCGTGTATATATGTATATTTATGTTCATTTTGTACATTTCTAAAAATAAAGTTTAATGGAAATACTTAGTAGGCCTATCCTTTCTTCCCTGAATTCATATATAGCAAACCATGATTTGATTTCTCATCAAACAGTAGTAGTTTATAACGGGTAAAAATAACTTACTCTTTGTTATGAGAGTAGCTCGTAGGCCACAACGGAAAGACAAGGAGACATACACGAGTTTACAAAACCACGGCACATTTATTGTGGTAAATGCAGAGACAGGTGGTTGAGAGGATCGCAGAGTTAGTCTTCCTGCAGCCGCTTTGGAGAGAGACTGTGTCCGGAGGTGTCCGTGATCGTGCTGATTAGCCTCTTCAGCTCCACCCCATCGTAAGACAAAGGCCCTGGGGCCGTCACACTCTTCTATAACAACAGTTAAAAATATATATGTATATAAAATATACCGCTGTACCGACGCCATGATAAGACTGATGTTACGCTGAGAGCAGCCGGGAAAAGCACTGACATGGGCGCAGCCTCTCTGGTGGTTGACTAATCAGAACGAGTGGCCGAGCTGACCAATCGGAGCACACTAGGCTCACAGGGAGGGGGGGGGCAAGAGCTCCAACGAGTCGTTTAGTGGAGAAAGTGAATACTGCTGAATACACATGCTTGACAGAGATGCTGTATGCGAAACCAATGTGAGTTTGGAAAATTGCACAGTATAAATCTATTTTAGTATACCTCAACAATGTAATTATGATCAGTGGAAATGGCCATGACATGGGCCCTTTAACTTCATCAGGGCAAGAGCATTGAATCACAGACAGTTTGTTGCACTTTTGGAGGAAAGTGAGACTGAACATCGTGACATACCCTACCATGCAGCTGTCAGGTGGCTCAGCCTGGGCAAAGTGCTGAAAAGAGTATGGGACCTGAGAGAAGAGATTCAAGACTTCTGTGTGAAGAAAGGAAACGACATCCCACAGCTTTCAGATGCAGACTGGATGGCAGACCTTGGTTTTGCTGCACTAATGAGTGAACTAAATGTCAAACTGCAAGGCAAGGGCCTTTTTGTGCATGACATGTACAGTGCAGTGAAGGCTTTCATGAGAAAGCTGCAGCTTCTCTCAAGCCAAATGGAGGACAACATTCTCACGCACTTGCCAACACTGAAGGAAGCCACACCATCAGCTGATCACCTCCAGAGGTACTCATCCATGTTAGAAGCACTGCATGGTGAGTTTTCAAGGCGATTTAAAGACTTCAAAACAGTTGAGAATGAAATGAACATGATCTTTTCCCCATTTACATGCCATGTGGATGATGCACCCAGTGATGTTCAGCTTTAACTCATTGACCTGCAGTCTGACACACTTCTGTCAGAGCACTTTAGGTCAGTCTCACTGCCTGAGTTTTACTCTTCCCTGAAAGAGGAGAACTTTCCACACATCAGGAGACGTGCTCAGAAGATGATGGTCCTCTTTGGATCTACCTACATATGTGAACAGACATTCTCAGTGATGAAGTTCAACAAATCCAGATACAGATCCTCTATCACTGATGATCACCTCTCAGCTGTCCTTCGCATATCCACCTCAGACATTGAACCAGATTTCCGTGCACTTGTTCAAGCCCAAGACAGACTGGATTTTTCTCACTGAACAAGTCAAATTAACTGAAAAACAAAAATCAAAAGCACTCATTTCTTTTTGTATAAAGCTGATTCATTTCTTATCTTTAACATGCTGTAAAACACCTTTTCAGTATTGGTATATTGAGCAGAATTAAGTTCAACTTATTTTTGATTCGGCCCCCCAACACAGCTCGAGTTTCTGAAGTGGCCCCTTGTAAAAAATAATTGCCCACCCCTGCTCTAGATGGTGCTGTTGCTCACAGAATCAACCCTTGCAAAAACAGAGCTAACATTTTTCAAATTGAGCGAAATGAGGCATGGCTAAAATGCATGATCTGTTTGGTATTTTGAAAAAAAAAAAGTATAAATATGCCTTATATAGGTATGGTCCTACACTATATTATTCAAATATAGCATGATAGGTCCACTTTAAATAGCTTATGTACATTATTGACAGTTAAGGCTAAATACAGGGAGTTTTATCTGCTGTTCAACACATTACAGAAATAAAAAGATGTAAAACTAACATCTTGTTTCCTCTTATAGACAAGAAGAACACCAAGAATCTGCGCTTGATTGGTGAGTAAAGACAATCTTAACTGAAATGAACAAGAGCACATCACTACACTGTGGTTAACTGTTTTAAGACATGAAGAAAATGTGCTCCTCAGTTTCCAGACTAATTTCAGTAAGTTCTCGTTGGATTTACAATCGGGGTTAAAACATTATTATTAGCTAATTTTCTTGATTTCTTTATTCAAGGTCTGAAACCACAGCAAATGTTTTGGCCTTTGACAAGTTTTCAGATGAAAATACATTTTATTCTACACCTTTCTTTTTATTTGGGAAGACCTTCAGCAGTTTAGAATATACAACAAATATTCATTGTATTAAAACAAATCTAGTTCCTGTTTGAATTGCCGGCAAAAACAAATGATACATAAAAGACTAAAGAGTATTTTATTTGATGAAGTGAGCTTCGTTGGCACGTGAAACTGAATTTATTGCTAAAAGTTGTATTAAACGCAAAAATATTTTTTGTAAAAATAATAATTGTAAGTAGTTGAACTTTACATTGGTTCCAGGCCTAAAGTAAAACAATTAGATGTAGCAAAAACATTTAAGAAAAAAGTAAATTCCGGACCCACAAAATAATCTAACATTTGGTTGTTTGATCTTGTATGCCAGACTGCAGTGGTTTAAAGTGACTAAGTATATTTACTCAATTACTGTACCTAAGTACAATTTCAAGAGACTTGTACTGTACTTGAGTATTTCAGTGTTTTGATAAACTAAATTCACAAGCTACCCTGCAGTGTACAAAGTAATTAAAACTAGCTACACATTTTCCAGCTTTGATAAACAGATTAATGCATACATAATTATTATCAAAACATATTATATATTCTTTTTCTGAAATGAGCCAATCTGCATAATGAGTACTTATACTTTTGGGACTTTAAGTATATTTTGATTTATACCCTTACTTGACCAACATTTTCAAAACCCAACTTGTACTTGTAACAGAGTATTCTTACACTCTCACTTCTTCTTTTCTTAAGTACAACATCTGAGCACCTTTTCCACCTTTGCTAGATTGTTAGGTTTCATTATCTTTTGTCTATAAACCCACACACGTTTTGGCACAATAGGGTTTTGACTATTTCACATTTTTGATGTGTGTTGATAGTGAGGTTCATTTGTTTTGCCTTTTTGGTGAAGTTTATTGATATGTTTGAGTTATAATAATGCTGTCTCTGGGTTAGTTTATTTAAAGGATAATAAATTACTAGGCCTGAATTAAGGTTTTTAAATTATTTTGCCTCATCTGCTTCAATCACATGTATTCAAAGTAGGTTGCTGGTTACCATTTCCTGCTGTTCTTCTGCCTCTGCTGCGTTCATGGTCTATGCACTTTGTCTGCAACCGTCAAAGGTTTCGCTAACGTTAACATTTCCTGTCGAGAAGATTAAAATGTTCCTGCTTCTGAGTTTTACCTGGATTATTGCAGGTAAGACAAATACCATTTTTATTTTTTACTATTTGCATGTTAGGGTTACACATTTTAACAATTTGAATGGGATTTTATCATGAAACATGCTTTAACGCTGTGTTAAAAAGCGTAACATCTTATTTAACATATGCAGACTTTAGTGTCTTTTTAAATTAATGTAGGAAATGTATTACATTTGGACAGTTCATAAAGCTTCTGTTTCTGAGGTTATTTCAATTAAAGCTCTGCCATTTTCTATATGATTTTAAAGATACATTTATTCTTTAGAAATTCACTTCTGCTGGCATTTTACTGTGTCCACCAGAGTATTGTAGATAATGGGCTTTCCTGAACTGTAAATGGTTTGGTATCTTGAAAGCAAAGTTGATTAACAACAGCATCTTTATTAGTCTCTAAGCTCAGTTAAAGAATATTTAGTATTCTCCTTAACATTTAAATCAATCATAATTGCCTTAACATTAGTATTTCTCATGCAAAATAAAGTCTCATGATCAGATTTTATTGTACTTTATGCTTATGTATCCATGTTTATTTTAGGTCACATTATTGCTGCATAAAATCTTTTTTTAGGTATTTGGCTCTAATGACATTTAAGACAATTTATGATTTTATTGAATGTTTCCTTTCAGGGATTACAGCGGAGATCCCCCCAGCGATGCACTACCGCGTGAAAAACAGCTCAATATGTCTACACATAAAACCACCAGGATACCAAGAATATGAGTGGCTTTTTGAAAAGGAGCTTATTGTTTTTAGTAAAAACATCAAAACCAAGTACAAGGACAAAGTGTACTATAATCCAAAAAACGGCTCCTTGTGTATCACCAAGCTCAATGAGACAGACAGCGGCACCTATTCCCTTTCTTTCATTAATTCTGATGATGAAAGAGCAATTGAGACCCACAAACTGATTGTTGAAGGTAAGTTCTTAATATTTTGTTGACTTTAGTTGGTTATATGGGCTTTACATTTCATTATTTAATATTACAATATGCCTCTTAAGGATACATTTGTGTCTTCAAGACTGGCTTTAAGACTTTTTTTGAACCATCTACGACATCTACGACATAAACAACATATTTTTATCACCCGCCCCTTTTTAAAATACATTTACCTTTTTGTCTTTGTGGTTTAAAAAAAGTCTACAGTCCAGTTAACAAATAAATATCAAATGAAGATCAAAGTAAAACTATCTATATGACTTTGACCATTTTTGCATCCTGTTGCAAAAATGTACATCCCTGTTTATTGTAAAAGAATAATTTCACATACTCTATAAGGAGTTGTATTTTTCCCCCTTATTTAAGCCACTTTGGTTATATAGGTTTTCGGTCTTATCTTTAAAATGTCTGATGGAAAGCTTGGGTCACGAAAGCTTGCCAATATCAGCACTAGAAAATGCTGGAGCATTGTAGATAAATAGAGTGGACAGGTATTACATATATACATTATGTCAAAAAAAAACAATGCAATTATATATCGATATTCTCTTTGGTGAATATGCACTTCATATTGTGAACATTGTGTTGCGATTCTTACTACCAACAACTGATCTAATACCTTTTAATTTTTTCCAGAAACTGTTCCCAGGCCTGTCATTGAGAGTTCCCCGCTGCACTTTAACCTGTATGCTGACCCCTGCAACATCACAGTCAACTGCTCCATCCAGGGTGACTGGGTGTGTTCTGTGTGTGACAACAACAGTTGCATAACATCTCAGAGATCATTATTCAGCAAGGTCAACATCACCATCTTCCTCCACAACAGAGTTATTGTCTGCAGTGGCAACAATAACATCAGCAAGAGCAATGTTTCTGAAAGCATGGAGGGAATGTGTAAGTATTTTGTGGTTCTTTATTTGTCACACACTTTGAATCCAGAAAATATGTATGCAGGTCTTTCTTTCTATGACATTTTTGAACCACCACCTCATCCATTTAATACCTCAGTCGTTGCAGGTATTATCTGTTCAAATGTGTTTCTATGTCTTTCCAGGCGTTGGAAAATCTAATCCTGAATCTGAAGTGACATTAAAACTACACATTGTAGTACTTATATGTATTGCATTGTGTGTATCCCTCTGTGCCTTTGCTGTCTGTGTGGCTAAAAGGCTCTTTCAAACAGAATGTAATCAAAAACAGGTAAGATAGATTTACTTATTTATCTGGGGATGTAAGAATATTGTTTATTCCATTTGAATCAAATGTTTTCAGGTCATTGCCACTAAAACCTTTCTCTAGATTCCTCAAGATATAGAGTTTTGAGATGCTAGGAGGTGTTTATCTTAGTATGCTACATATTGATTTTACAATACAAAAAAACACATTTTACTGCATTTTCTTTTTGTCACAGACATCTCCTGCTCGGATAATACAAAGCCAGCCAGCGGAGGAAGAGCCAAACTCTGTGCCGAGAGTCTCTTCCTCTAGTTCCAATCAAGCCTGGTATGAAAACGTGGATGATGCATTGCCCTGTCAGACCAGCAGCCCAAACATCAGCCCAAGAGAGGAGCTGGGATCTAAGCGGGAAGTTGATACAGTCTACAGTGTTTTAGAGAGACACAATACAACATCCCATCAAGGCAAAAGCAGTGAAGAAACTATAGGACATCAGGCAAAACACGAGGCAACGACTTCACAGGAGCAACCTTCGCAAGTCGACACGGTGTACAGTCTGTTGCAGAAGAAAACAAATGTGAAGTCATAGCACCACCAATAGGTCAGACAAGATTTTCAGAATCCCCGAAAACTGGAGGATACATCTTTTGTACAGTGTGTTTGGTTTCTTTCAGAGCGTTATGTTAAGCCTTTTGTTTTAGTTTTTTAGTAAAAAAGCTACCTTAAATGACACATTATTCTATTGAAACGAATATTAACTGAAAACATACTGGAATTTCTCATGTGATTGTCAGAAATATTTACACACGCGTAAGTAGTATCTTTGTAACATGCTTGTAATTCAAAGAAAGCATTAAATCCTGATAAATAAAAAAAACAGCAAATATTTGATTTCGAACACACTTCAAAAGGACCTCAATTCAAAGCAGTGAACCGTAGCTCTTTGGGTATTAGAAGTGAAAAATGGAGACTAACTGCCTGTTTTGATTTGAAATGTTATGTATGTATTTTCTTTTAGGACTTACATTTGAGCATGTTAAGTAATTTCAGAAGTTGAATACACAGTACAGGGATCCTACATTGATAATTTGACAAGTAGTGAACGCACAATTGACTGATAATGTTCACCTCCTTAGCTTTGCACTGATGCCTGGTAGTGGGGTGAAGACATTAAATTAAATTAAAGGGGACCTATCATGCAAAATGCACTTTTGTACGTCTTTTATACATGAATATGTGTCCCCGGTGTCAGAAAACACAACCCTCTCTATTTTCCTCCATACCCAAATCTCTAAAAAAGGGGCTGCAACGGATCTGATAAAAACTGATCCAGATTTGAACACTGTCCTGACGTCAGGACGGTGGCGCTACGGCTATTGGGCCAACTCCACCAATCAGGAGGAGACAGCTACGGCCATTGACGTTCGAAAGCGCTGGAGACGCTGTAGTACATATGCCAGGCCTGTAGGTGGTACTGTTCTCACAGAATCAGCCCTTGCAAAAACAGGGGTAAAAAAGTGCAAATTGAGCGAAATGAGGCATGGCTAACCCCTGATCTGTTTGGTATTTTGAAAAAAAGTATAAATATGCCATATATAGGTATGGTCCTTCACTATATTATTATAATAAAGCATGATAGGTCCACTTTAAAGTAGATCTATCTGTAGAGGAGGGGGCAGGACTTTGGCTCTTTACACTCACATCTGGAAAGACACAATGAGACACTTCCTGTGGGTGACGTTGTTTCTAAAATTAAAGTAGAATTTCTCCTAGAGATGTAAAAAATATGTGATTGTATGCAACACTGTCTAACTTTGTGATACAGGCTGTTGAACACACACATTTCATATGAAATGTTCTGTTTTGAATAGAAAGCCCATGGATTATAAAGTGAGTATGACAATTTATGTATACTTACTTTCTGTGTACTTATATTTAGTGTAAACATTGTACTACAACATTATTTGTTACATGTCTGATTCAGATCATGTGGCTCGAACCTTGTTGTACATTTGGTGATATTAGAGCCGCTCTGTTTTGTTAGCTTTGTCTAAAAGGGAAGGAAGCACAGGCCGTGTAAATAAGATAAAAAACAACTTCCTTTTCCAAAAGTTCATTGCATTTGTTTCTCTGTAGTTCCTGATTCCTCTTCATATGCTGCAGTTTCGATCTTTCTATTTACACAAAGTAGAAGAATTTCTCATAAACAGAGGAACAGATTATCAGTGTTGGATGTGAAGATGGGACACACTTTGCTCTCTCTACTGGGGTTTTTCTGTGAGTACTTTTAATGTTTTAATTTCCATTGTTACATCTTTATAAATGCCTGAGGTTATGATATGTTTGATTTCTTTAATTTTTAATAATGTCTGATGTAGTTTCAAACTTATTTTAGTGCTGAGTTTACTTTCCCGTGGACAAGCTCAAGGTAATTATACAATTTTCTTTCTTTTTGTTTACCAACTAAAGTAAAATCTACCTATTTAACTCTCCAAACAACATCCTCTTTTTTGTGTGTTCCGTTTTGTCAATGTATTATAAATGTTTTGACAAAAAGAAAATACATTTTACTTCATGTATCTTGTGATGGTTTCTAGATGCTGTGCTGACCATTGAGCCAAACTGGACAACTTTTTTTACCGGAGAGTCTGTTACCTTCAAGTGTGACATTACAGGAGGCAAAGACAGAGACTGGTATTACTCAATCCACAACCAGCATGGAGAAGTTTTCTCTCCCAGCAATCAAAACTTCAGAACATTACAACCTCTAACTTCAGGCTACAGTGGTGAATACCAGTGCTTGTTTCACCACGGGGGATCAACAAAAAGAAGCAATAAAATCTATCTAACTGTATCAGGTAAGTGATCAAAGTAATACCACCATGACCAAGTTCATTAAAAGCAATTTATTTTAATTAAGGAGCCATGTTGATATGAACACGCAGTTTGGACAAGTTCTAATATATAATCTGTCAATTATTTTAATGTTTTAACGTTTGAACAGCTCCACTGATGCTGTATAGGCAGGTGAAGTATACTGTACAATCCTGTGCTTTGTGTTATCGCAAATTCAAGAGTATTAAAATAAGAACAAAAATACCTCTTATAAAACTCAGCTTCTTACATCAAAGCATTTACATTAAGACATTACTTTACCAACAAACCTTGTTATACTTTTGTTAATTGTGACAAATTATGAAGAAAGACCAATATATTCGAGAAACTAATACACCTTAATGTGCTTAACAGTAACTATTCAAACGGTGCAGGTAAAAATGTATTCCTTTTTCATGAAATGTGAATATGTATTCTTCATAACTGGAAGTATTTATTTGTACTAATGTGTTATTAATTGAGCTGTTATACTATTATAATGAATCATTTGTGTTACACAGATAGAATTGTGATCCTGGAAAGTCCTGTGTCCACTTTGTTTGAAGGAGAATCAGTGACTCTGCTCTGTCGGTATCGTACTCGGAGAGAGGAGAATGCTTCCTTCTACAGAGACGGATCATTGATCACAACAGACAGAATAATAATAATAATACATTTTATTTTTATAGCGCTTTTCTAAACCCAAAGACGCTTTACATTTGGGGAAGGGTAGACAAACAAGGACAGGCAATAAAACAACAACAAAACAAAAACAAAACAGAAAAACAAAAAAACAAAAAACAAAAAAACCACCAGTCACCATTAATGGCAAGTAATGTCAGACGGGAGCTCTTACAGTTGTAAATTTGGCGATGAAGAATCTGAACCAATAAAACTGAGAACTGAAAGTAAGTAGTTTATATACCTAAAAGCTTCAGACATTTAGTAAACCCAAAATGAAACAGAATTATATTATCTGCCTAATCTTAGAAACACTGGACAATGAACAAAGAAAAAAAAGGCTTTTTAAAATGTTCACCCCGTTTTATGGCCGTTTCTACTCAAGGTTAACCAACTACTTCAGTGGTTATAAATAGAAATATAAGCATAGTTATTTCTCTATATTTTCATTGTAGCATACACAGTGATTTAATATTACTAAGAGTGCTGGATAAGATATATTATACATTTGTATTATTTGTCAAGCTAGGCTTATTTACAGGGACAATAACTAACATTTTATAAAAAAAATTACCTTTATTCTACATTGAACAGCAACACCAAAGGCCCAGCTGAGAGACATATTTCCAGGAGGGGACAATGTGACTCTAACTTGCTCTGTAGGACCATCATCAGCTTCTGGTTGGAGATACTTCTGGTACAAAAAAGAGAAAACCTCTGAACCCCTGAAGACACAAGATGTTTTCCTCACAAATGACCGAATCAGTGTCTCACGAGGAGGCGTCTACTGGTGCAGAGGAGGAAGAGGACACCCTGTTTACTACACAGAGTACAGCGATGCAGTCGGTAATTAAAACATCTAATATTATGTCATACAGAAAACAAATGATGTATTTGACACAAAAAATGCAATGATTTATGTTTAACATTGCCTTTGTTTTTGGTGCTCATTGATGGTTAACAGTCACAAACAGGGCTATTGTGACCCTGCAACCCAACTGGCCTCAAATATACTCTCGAGAAACATTCACTCTTACATGTGAAATTGAGGATGGAGGAAACTATGAGTGGGAGTTTTTTTGGACGACACCCGGGTCAGAAACACCTCAGAAATCTCACCTTGCTCCTTCATCAAGAAGTGGGAAATACCAGTGTGTGGGCAGACTGAAAGGTGAAATGTCTTACACGCTGTGGAGTGATGTTTTCACATTGACAGTATCTAACGGTATGTCACACATCATCAGTTTACTTTGTTTTGCTGTAAATACAAATATTATTTTATTTTGTTATTACATTAAGGACAGTTAACCCTTGATTGTGATTTACAGGTTAGTAGAAAATATGTAGGATGCAAGGAGTGTATGTTACCCACCAATTATAAATCATAACGTTATCATTAAATCACTTTCCAACAGACAAACCTCTGCCTGTCCTCACTGTGTCTCCATCATGGCCGAGTCCTGGAGCCTCAGTGACTCTGAACTGCAGGGTTGATCATCCTTCTGCTGGCTGGAGCTTCTACTGGTATAAGGCTGTTCCCCAAAAGTTAGGCTACCGTTACAGCTATGAGCTGCTACCTGGCAGCTACAATGGGACTGAAAAGCATCTTTTCATCATTGATGGACAAACACAAACAGCAGGATATGTTTGCAGAGCAAGAAGAGGAGATCCAGTGTTTTACACTTCGTACAGCAAACCTGTGTTTGTTTGGTCTGGAGGTCAGTATGATTTGACTTTTCCATTATTGCAAAATGGTAGGAATTCCCTTATTTTGGTAACTTTTCCTGACTTTTTTTTGAGTTTTGGGATATTTTGGATATGCCTTTTGGTTATGTTTTACATAGAAGTTCCCCAATGTTACAAACAACTCCAAATTCTTTACATTCAGCAATTCTCTCAACAATTCATTACATGCTTTAATTAGACACTCACTCTTTATTATTGATTAAATGCTTCTTGTTTTTTTAATGTTCAAGTTGCCTTCCATATACATAAATGCTTTGTTTGTCCCCTGTTTGTGTGTTTCAGATTTGAATTCAGCAGCGTCTCTCACAGTGAGTCCTGACAGTGTGCAGCACTTCACCAAAACGTCTGTGTCACTGAGCTGTGAGGGAAACTCCACTGAGTGGAGAGTGAGGAGGTTTTCGAAATCTGACAACCTTTATCGATGTTCTTCCTGGGGGACAAAGACTGGATCCACATGCAAAATAACCAGAAGCTGGCTTAGTGGAGTGTTCTGGTGTGAGTCTGAAACAGGACAGTTCAGTAATGCAGTCAACATCACTAAAGATGGTGAGTTTTAATTATTTAAAATGTTTGTTTCTGAAGTATTATGTTGTTTTGAAATGTGAAGGTGACAAGCAAAGTAACCAAACGTCTCTTCAAATTAGTAACACTTTATAAAAAAGGCTAATTTGCGAAGTGATTTCCAGGGTACTTCTCTCAAAGATAATATTCTATGTTTTATTGTCCTCATACATCTACCTGACATTTCAGCTTCTCCCAGACTAGACCAGTTGTGCATAAACGTATTACATCTGCAAAAGCTGATTTCTCTGACAAAGCCTTTATATTCTTTGATTTTTTTTCAGATGGTGATATTATCCTGGTGAGCCCTGTCCATCCTGTGGCTGAGGGACGTTCTGTCACTCTTAGCTGCAAGTTCAAGACACAAACTGTTTATAATGTGGATTTCTATAAAAATGACAAACTCATCCAGAATGATACCAGAAGCGAGCTGACCATCTCTGCAGTGTCAAAGTCAGATGAAGGCTTTTATAAATGTAAACGGAGAGATTCAGCAGATGGTAGGACGTCACCAGAGAGTTGGGTGTCAGTAAAATGTGAGTATGATAAAGAAAAACCTTCCTTTTTTGTAAGCTGTGTTACAGCCTGAGATATAGAAAAGCTTAGTTTCATCTGAACTGTGTTTGTGTAAGAAAAAAAGATTTTATAAAGTTAATCTATTACAGGAAAGTGTTATAGGATATAATGTTAATAATAATGACTTATATTAGCAGCGTCCGGGCATGGAAAAGCCTCTCAATTTCCCATTCTTCTGTTCGTTGGGCTGCTTTGTGGAGTTTTACTGATTATTCTCCTGCTGCTGTTCCTGTATTTATACAGAAAGTCAAAAGGTGGGATACTTTTCTTCTGATATAAGATTGACTCTAATGTAATCACATGTACTGTTTTGACTGTAGGACACTTTGCAATGCATAATAATATAGTATTACCTTTTTTTTTTAACAGATTCATGCTATAGCAGGTTGGTACAACACTCTATTTTATTTTATAATGAACATGACAGCAGTAATATGTTCCTTAATAAATCCACTTCATTCACTACATGTGTTTTGCCCACCAGATCTCAGAGGACCAATCAGGGCCCTGCTACAGACCACATGATCAACCAGGATGAAACTGACCAAAGAGAATATGCTTCTGTTCTCCAGGGTCAGCCTGAATCCTTAATATTTTTTGAATTTATTTAAGTAGCATCCACGTTGCATTTCCATTTCTCATTAGTTGCTTTAATAAATGAGAGTTCATATAGAGGGATTTTAATATGATTTGGATTACTCTTCAGATAATGCTTGTCTCTATGAAACAATCACAGGCCCTGGAGAACCTGCAAATGGTACAGTATAGTAAATATAAATACTGCAATATGACAATTCAAGGTTAATTATTTTAAATACAAAATAAATTGTATATTTCAGATGAATACACGGATGTGACATATTCTGTTGTGGAGCTCAAAAACATTTCTAAGAAGGGTGAGTATTTCTATGTCGTAACAATAACATACAATAATTAAGGTGCTTTTGTAGGCTAGCAGTGCCTAAATTAAAGGGGACCTATCATGCAAAATGCACTTTTGTACGTCTTTTATACATGAATATGTGTCCCCGGTGTTCCAGGGAACTCACCAAGTGTCAGAAAACACAACCCTCTCTATTTTCCTCCATACCCAAATCTCTAAAAAAGGGGCTGCAACGGATCTGATAAAAACTGATCCAGATTTGAACACTGTCCTGACGTCAGGACGGTGGCGCTACGGCTATTGGGCCAACTCTCCACCTATCAGGGGAATGTGGGGTTGGGCCACGGCCGGCCATTGCCGCTCGAAAGCGCTGGAGACGCTGTAGTACATATGCCAGGCCTGTAAGTGGCGCTGTAGTCTGCCACAAAAGCAGCGAAGAAGACTTCCCGCCCATAGTTACCATGGTTACCCTTCTGTTTATTCTTGCTCAATGCAATCCCTCCCCGTCGAGGCAAGCACTGTAATTCTCTCCGGTTAGTCCACCAGCAGATGACAAACACCCACCTCTCCGCCTCTTCCAAGGAACGAGGGGACCGTGCGGCAGAGTTTCAGTTTCAGTTACTTTCGCCGGTCAAACGTCTTCTTTGTTATTTATTGAGCTTTAAAACAAATGAATAACGACTCTATATAATAAAACACGGAGGACGGAGATGTCTTTTTCTCCCCCTCTTCTGACAGCCCAGCAGCTGATTAGAGCACGGCTCACCTCTCCTGCAGGGGGGCGTGGTCAGCAAAATCAGACCCATAGACAGCAAACAGCACATAGAGCGAAATGAAGCATGGCTAAAATGCATGATCTGTTTGGTATTTTGAAAACAGAAACGTATAAATATACCTTATATAGGTATCGCCCTACAATATATCATTTAAATATAGCATGATAGGTCCACTTTAAGTAAAGTTTAGTTTTTTCTTGCTTTCTCCTGATCTGTCTAACAGGGAAGAAAAATGAACAGGAGGATTGTGTTTACTCACATGTGAAGATGGCATCAGCTGCAGGTCTGATGAAATACTACTCACTTTAAGTTTTTGATATGCTTACGTGCTGCCTGCTAGGGTGCCATTTTAAAAATTACCACAAGGTGTTGCCAAAGTCAGCAATGTTCAAATCCTACACGTAACTTGTTCAATGTCTGTTAAGTTTATTTTCTGTCAATGCATTCATGAAATAATCATCAGGGCCCAGTAGTTCAACACTTTTAATCCCTATCTGATCGGATCAGATTTGGATTTTGGGTAGTTCAAAACCAAAAAACAGTTAGTACAGGAAATAAACATCAGGGCATATGACATTTCATTCATCTGTATCCGTACAGGTTTAACTGTTGTGAATCATCATGAGCAATTCCTTCTATCAAACTATCACTGTACCCTCTTGTGAGGAAAATGTATACCAGTGCATTTTCATTGCTAACTGGGGGAATACTGTAAACAATAAATAATAATAATCTCTTAATTCATAGGGAAGTCAAATCCTGCACCAGCGGATGAAACTGTTTATTCTGAACTCAAACCAGGAACAGCTCTTGGTAAAAATGCAGCGTAACATCATGTAAGTTTTCAGATTAATCACTTAATATATTTCATATATTGTTAAATATGTTTTAAATGGGATTAATATGACATGACACACCCTAATTCTTTAAAAAAGTATCATCTCTTTCTTCTTTGGTTTCTTCCAGATCGAAGAATGTCTTCTGTAAGGACAAGACGAATCGAAACAACATACCAAAACAAAACCTTTGTTTATTAAACCTTATTTTCAGCTTTGCTCTCCATTTATCAGACAGTATTTTGTACAGTTACTGTAATAGCAAATCATTGAAAGAAAATAAATCATATGGCTTTAATCTAGGTGTTTTTTTAAAAGCATGCTTTGTTTTGCATCAATAAACTTTATTTACTTAAAGGAAACCTATCATGCTATATTTAAATGATATATTATAGGGCCATACCTATATAAGGTATATTTATACGTTTCTGTTTTCAAAATACCAAACAGATCATGCATTTTAGCCATGCCTCATTTCGCTCTGTGTTGTTTGCTGTCTACGGGTCTGATTCTGCTGACCACGCCCCCCTGCAGGAGAGGAGAGCCGTGCTCTGATCAGCTGCTGGGCTGTCAGAAGAGGGGGAGAAAAAGAGATCTCCGTCCTCCGTGTTTTATTATATAGAGTCGTTATTCATTTGTTTTAAAGCTCAATAAATAACAAAGAAGACTTTTGACCGGCACTTTTCAAATTTTGTCCGGAAGATTTAAACTTTAACGGATTTCTTGAAAGAAACTGAAACTGAAACTCTGCCGCACGGTCCCCTCGTTCCTTGGAAGAGGCGGAGAGGTGGGTGTTTGTCATCTGCTGGTGGACTAACCGGAGAGAATTACAGTGCTTGCCTCGACGGGGAGGGATTGCATTGCAGTGGGAGCAAACGCTTGCCTCGGGGAGGGAGAAAGAAAGCCACAGCGGAGAATAAACAGAAGGGTAACCATGGTAACCAAGTCTTCTTCGCTGCTTTTGTGGCAGACTACAGCGCCACTTACAGGCCTGGCATATATACTACAGCGTCTCCAGCGCTTTCGAACGGCAATGGCCGTGGCTGTCTCCTCCTGATTGGTGGAGTTGGCCCAATAGCCGTAGCGCCACTGTCCTGACCTGGATCAGTTTTGATCAGATCCGTTGCAGCCCCTTTTTTAGAGATTTGGGTATGGAGGAAAATAGAGAGGGTTGTGTTTTCTGACACTTGGTGAGTTCCCTGGAACACCGGGGACACATTCATGTATAAAAGACGTACAAAAGTGCATTTTGCATGATAGGTCCCCTTTAAGTGCTTCTACTTGATCTTTCTTTACACAAGGTGTTTAATTTTCTTCATCATCCTCCCTCTTCTTTTGGGGATCCAGTACAGTTATGCTTTGAGGAGACAGAAGGAATTTAGAGGTGCAAGAGCTGAGATGTGACCAAAAATGTGTCACTTTGAATCATCTGCCCTTGTTATTACTATAGTGATGAAGCAGTAGAAACATCTAATATTAGAGATGGCTATTTTACCCAAAAAATCCTGACATTTGTCTTGTGTTTTTAGACTAATACATGATAAACAATCAGAATTACAATTGCAATAAAGGTCAGGTAAAGAATGACGAAGAGGTTAAATCGTTCTGCAGTTGTCTCGATGAAACATCTAACTGTTGGCGTTAAACATATCTGCCTGTGAAACACAAGTATAACACTGCCATCCATTTTTACTTAGATATGAGTTGAGCAAAAATAACTATTTACTCTGCCTTTTTAAAATGGGATCTTGGTAGAGAGTGAAGTTAAAATGTATCTGCATGGCATGAGCATGAAGTAGTCATGCCAATGTAAAACAGGAAGGAAAGAGACTAGTTATTCTTAGGAAATGTGTAAAATACCAATGAGCTCATGTTGAGATCAGATCAGATTTCCTTCAACAGTGCTCTGTTAGTCTTCCTCAATTTGTGTTAAAGTGGACGTATGTGTAAGAGATGGTAGGCTCGTCTCAATACCCCTCCTCGACTCCTCTCTTCCCCTCCTCTGGGACTTGACCCGGAAATCGATCAAGACACGCCATGTTGAAGGACGTCCCAATAGCTGAAATGCACACGGAGGAGTCGAGGAGGGGTGAGGGAGGAGGGGTGCGGGAGGAGACGAAATGGAGGATACACGAGAGCAGACTACGCAGAAGTGTTTTCACTGCTCGCGTATAAAAGCCCCGCCCCCACCTTCACAGAGAAACCCTTGTTGGACAGCACAGAGGTCAGACGCTTCTTGTAATTGGTCACCAGGTTTGTGAACATCTCAGGAAGGATTCTGGTCCACTCCTCTCTGAAGATCCTCTCCAAATCCTTAAGGTTTTGAGGCTGATGCTTGCTGTCTCGAAGCTTCAGCTCCCTCCAGATTTTCTATGGGATTAAGGTCCGGAGACTGGCCAGGCCCCTCCATCACCTAAGTGCTAATTCTTTAGCCACTCCTGTGTTGCCTTGGCCGTATGTTAAGGTTCATTGTCATGCTGGAAAACACATCCATGACCTATTTTCAGTGTCCTGGCTGAGGGACGGAGGCTATCGGCCAAGATTTTACGGTACTTGGCCCCGTGCATCCTGTCCTCGATGCAGGGAAGTCGTCCTGTCCCCTTAGCAGAGAAACACCCCCAAAGCATAATGTTTCCACCTCCATGCTTGACAAGGGGGATGGTGTTCTTCGGGTTATAGTCAGCATCTCACTTCCTCCAAACACGGCGTGTCGAGTTGATGCCAAAGATCGCGATTTTGGTCTCATCGGACCACATAACCTTCTCCCAAGCCTTTTATTTAAATGATTCAGATTTTCATTGTCAAACTTCAGACGGGCCTTTCATGTTCTTCTTGAGCAGGGGACCTCGCAGGCACTGCATGATTTGATCCATTATGGTGTAGTGTGTTACCAATAGTTTTCTTGGTGACTGTGGTCCCAGCTGCCTTGAGATCATTACCAAGTTCCTCCCGTGTAGTTCTTGGCTGATCCCTCACCTTTCTCATGATCATCAATACCCCACAGGGCGAGATCTTGTGTGGAGCCCCAGACCGAGGGCGATTGATGCCCATTTTCTTTTTCTTCTATTTCCGAATAATCGCACCAACAGTTGTCTCCTTCTCACCAAGCTGCTTTATGATGGTCTTATAGCCAATTCCAGCCTTCTGCAGGTCTACAATCTTGTCCCTGAGGTCCTCAGACAGCTCTTTGGTCTTGCCCATGGTGGAGAGGTTGGAATCTGATTGATTGATTCTGTGGACAGGTGTCTTTTATACAGGTAACAAGTTGATATTAGGAGTACTTTTTTAAAGTAAGAAGACTGATGTAACCGGTCTGTGAGAGCCAGAATTCTTGTTGGTTGCAAGGGGATCAAATACTTATTTCCCACAGTTAAATGCAAATACATTTTTATTTTTTATATAATGTCAATTTCTGGATTTTCTTGTTGATATTTTATCTCTCATTAGTAAAATAAACCTACCATTACAAGTATAGACTGTTCATTTCTTTTTAAGTGGATACACTTACAAAATCGGCAAGGGATCAAATACTTTTTTAACGTTTGAACAGCGACACTGATACTGTAAAGGCAGGTGATGTATACTGTACAATCCTGTGCTTTTAGGTTATCACAGAATCAAGAGTATTCAAAATAAGGACCTAAAGACAGACAGGGATCAGCTTCTTACATCACAGCATTTACATAAAGATAATACTTTACCAACAAACCTTGTTATACTTTATTACCTGTGACAAATGGATTGTTTTCACATTGACAGTATCTGACAGTCAGTCATTTATCATCAGTTTACTTTTTTTGCTCTATACAAAATAAAATAAAAACTAGTATTTTGTTTTTTATTTATAAGGATAGTTCACCCTTCAATTTGCTTTATAGAGTCGAAGTCCCTCCCTTCGTATGTATTGAAGTCACTGGCGAGAGAAAGATTATCTTTCGATTCCGTTTGAATTGTGCCAGGAATTACACATATGATGTTTGTCAATTTAAAAGATAATTTTGCAAGTCACTTTATTATCTTGTATGATCTCAACATTTGAATGTACAGTACTGTGTTCCTACCAGTGGGAATCCTAGAGTCGGTGGGGGCCCTAGGCAAACACTCGAACCAGGGGGGCCCCTCGAACCAGCTTTTCATCACCACGCACAGCCGACAGCACCCCCCCGGAGCGGAGCAAGGCAACAAAACTTAAAGTTACCACGACATGGCCATTTCTACTGATCATAATTCCATTCTAGGATATAGTTACATTGTACAATGTTCCAAAATGACATTGGTTTCTCATACAGCATCTCTGTATAGTATGTGTATTCACTCTTTGTCCTAAACGGCTTGTTGGAGCTCCTGCCCCCCCCCCCCTCCCTATGAGCCCACTGTGCTCTGATTGGTCAGCTCGCCCACTCTGTTCTGATGAGTCCACCACTGTTACAGCGGAACAGCAGTGATTATGTGTTACAATGGCGTTAGCAACCAGAAAATGACACCAGTAATGACAAACAGATGAGAATGCTGCGTGGGGTCTAGGTTCCTGGTTGCTGCGTGGGGTCTGCGAGACAGCGAGACATCGCAAAACTCAGCCTGAACTCAGCCTGAACACCATGGACGCGGGAAGGGGGGGTGCTGAGGGTGCTGCAGCACCCCCATCTGCGAGGCTCCACTAGCACCCGCACCCCCCCCCCGCACCCCCAAATGCGGCGCACCTACAGTGTAAGCGTGCCACAGTTTCGCCGCTGCGAGGCTCCACTAGCACCCCCCCCCAGCGCATCACAGTTTCGCCGCTGATAGAGTGTGTGTGTGTGAGGAGCTCCACGGATTGGTCCATTGGGTCGTCGTTACGTCACTTGGTTCCTGGAAGAAAAAGAGTAATCTCCAACGAGGCGTTCTGGGGCAGCATGTATTTTCTGTGTTAGAGTTTTACTCGCTACAGGGTGTACTTTGAGGGTTTGTGACTTTGCAGACCGTTTACATGCAGAAAAAAGCTACATAACACACAAGGGAACAGGTAATAACCGGAAAAGCATGACATGGGAATGACATGGGACCTTTAAGATAAGAAGCAGCATTTTACGGCACGCTATGCATGGGGCCGCCTTGAGGGGGGTTTCCCGACATGTCGTTCTGGTCCGGGGCCCCAAGCAGTTGCCTGCCTTGCCTGTTCGCAAGGTGCGCCCCTGGTTCCTACATTGTCCATGGCTAAACATACAGTATTTTCTATGTAGAGAGATAGAAGAAGGGAATCTGCTGAAGAAGAAGGGAATCTACTGTACAGCCAACATTAATTTGTCCAATTTATGTAATTATGTTTTACTGAGAATATTCTATTTTATTTTTTCTCCAGTCACTGTGCAGTTATAATAGAATATTTATTTCGATATATGACCAGAAGGTGGTGTCAAACTACTTTATCTGATACTTTACCTCTACACAAATAGTCCTTCTGAAGTCTGGCAGCAGGGTCTGATGTCATGTAAATGTAAGTCCTAACTAGTAACTAAACCATTGACTACTTACGGTTCACTTTCTTAGCTTTGCACTGATGCATGGAAGTGGAAACTTTCAATTTTGACAACCCACCACATTTAAAACTTCACAGCTACTGAAGTGTTGTGGTATTCATTTATTTCAATCATTATTATGGCATTAAGTCATTTTTGTACAACTGTTGTGATACAATTTTGCACCTAGACAAAACATATTTTCTGTATTCAAATGATTGCTTTGTTATGAATGATGAAGATATGAAATATTGCACTGCATTTCAACTATTTGGTTAAAGCTGTTACACACATTTCCATATGAAATATTGGTGAGAAGGCCCATGGATTATAAAGTGAGTACGATCCATGCAATTTTATCACTTAATTTGTTCTAGAAAGAACACTTTTTGACTTCAGGCAGCAGTCTTTATAGCAGCATCAATAATTACTGACCATTTGTGAAGAAGCACGAGCCGAGAGGATGATCTTATCTACGCCAGGAAGGATATTTTAATACCTTATCTCTCTTCATTTTTAGAGGATACCTAAACCAAGGTGCAAACAAATGTGCTGTGTTAAAAGCTGCTCTGTTTTGTTAGCTTTGTCTAAAAGGGAAGGAAGTCCAGGCTGTGTAAAGAAGATAAAAAACAACTTCCTTTTCCAATATTACATTGGAAGAATTTCTCATAAACAGAGGAACAGTTTGTCAGTGTTGGATGTGAAGATGGGACACACTTTGCTCTCTCTCCTGGGGTTTTTATGTGAGTACTATTCCTGTTTTAATTTCCATTGTTCCATCTTTATAAATGCCTGAGGTTATGATATGTAATTTCTTTAATTTTAATAATGTCTGATGTAGTTTCAAACGTATTTCAGTGCTGAATTTACTTTACCGTGGACAAGCTCAAGGTGATTATACAATTTTCTTTCTTTTTGTTTACTAAGTAAAGCAAAATCTACCTATTTAACTCTCCAAACAACATCCTCTTTTTTGTGTGTACCGTTTTGTCAATTTATTATATATGTTTTGACAAAAAGAAAATACATTTTACTTTATTTATCTTGTGATGGTTTCTAGATGCTGTGCTGACCATTGAGCCAAACTGGACAACTTTTTTTTCTGGAGAGTCTGTTACCTTCAAGTGTGACATTACAGGAGACAAACACAGCGACTGGTTTTACTCAATGTACAAGGATGGTCAAGGATTTCTCCCTTACGGCCAACATGAGAGCTATAAATTACCCCGTCTAACTACAGACTGCAGTGGTGAATACCAATGTATTTTCCAGCACGGGGGCTCAACAACAAGAAGCAATAAAATCTATCTAAATGTATCAGGTAAGTGATCAAAGTAATACAACCATGACCAAGTTCAATAAAAGCATTTTTTATTTATTTATGAGCCATATTGATATGAACACGCAGTTTGAACAAGTTCTAATATATCATCTGTAAATTATTTTAATGTTTTAATGTTTGAACAGCTTCACTGATGCTGTATAGGCAGGTGAAGTATACTGTACAATCCTGTGCTTTGTGTTATCACAAAATCACGAGTATTAAAATAAGAACAAAAAGACTGACAGGGATCACCTTCTTACCTCAAAGCATTTACATAAAGATAATACTTTACCAACAAACCATGTTATACTTTATTACATAACAAGGTGACAAATAGATTTTGTTCCACATTGACAGTATCTGACTAAGTCATTTATCATCAGTTGACTTTTTTTGCTCTATATAAAATAAAATAAAAACTAGTATTTTGTTTTTTATTTATAAGGATAGTTCACCCTTAAATTTGCTTTATACGTTTTTAGAAAATATGTAGAATCCAAGGAGTGCATGTAACCCACCAATTAGACATCATAACTTTATCATTAAATCACTTTCCAACAGAAAGACCTCAGCCTGTCCTCACTGTGTCTCCATCATGGCCGAGTCCTGGAGCCTCAGTAACTCTGAACTGCAGGGTTGATCATCCTTCTGCTGGCTGGAGCTTCAACTGGTATAAGGCTGTTCCCAAACTGTCAGGCAACTCTTACAGCTATGAGCTGCTACCTGGCAGCGAGAATGGGACTGAACAGGATCTCTTCATCATTGATGGACAAACACACACAGCAGGATATTGCTGCAGAGCAGGAAGAGGAGACCCAGTGTTTTACAGTTCGTACAGCAAACGCAAGTTTGTCTGGTCTGGAGGTCAGTATGTGGTTCCTTTTTCTTTCTTTCTTTAGTTGGCACAACAAATGTATTGATCAAAGTTTGTCTGCTCTGGAGTCCTTTTTGCTTTGACTTTTCCATTATTGCAAAATTGAATAAAGTCACTTATTTTGGGAACTTTTCTTTTACACCAGCATCAGGTCATATTTCAGTTTTCAAAACTATTCTCTAAAACAGAATGATGATTGACTGATTCAGCTTCTGGACTGGACTGAATTTGAACACAAGTTAATCTCCTGACCCTCTTTTCATCCATGAAGTTGTTGTTCGCCATGGTTCAAACCTTAGACTTTGTAAATCCAAAACCTAATAATATAAGTACTTCTACAATACATTGTAATTAGATATAACTGGTAAGTGTTTTATTAATTTTTTTAGTTGGGAATATGTTTTAAGATATTTATCTGCTGGTTAAATGGTTTAAGACATAAACAATACATATGAGTAAAAAAATGTGTGTGGGATTGAGACACTGTGACATTCACTTTTGTTTTCCTCCTACTTTAGTTTGTTTCTGTTTTTTTTTTCAAGGTAAATTAAGCAGAAGTTTTGCTGTACCAATGCATTGTCTTTTTCAGTTTGCATGGTTTAAATGTCCCCTCTTTGTGTGTTTCAGATATTCACTCAGCAGCATCTCTCACAGTGAGTCCTGGCAGTGTGCAGCACTTCACCAAAACGCCTGTGTCACTGAGCTGTGAGGGAAACTCCACTGAGTGGAGAGTGAGGAGGTTTACAAAATCTGGCAACCTTCTTCCCTGTTCTTCCTGGGGGACAATGACTGGATCCACATGCAAAATAACCAGAAGCTGGCTTAGTGGAGTGTACTGGTGTGAGTCTGAAACAGGACAGTTCAGTAATGCAGTCAACATCACAATGAAGTGTGAGTTTTATTTATTTAAAATATTTGTTTCTGAATTATTATATTGTTTGGAAATGTGAAGGTGACAAGCATTAGCCAAATGTCTCTTCAAAGTGAGTAAACTTTATAAAAAAGGCTAATTTGCAAAGTGATTTCCAGGTTACTTCTCTCAATGATCAAAGATAATATTCTATGTGTTTTATTGTTCTCATACATCTACCTGACATTTCAGCTTCTGCCAGAGTAGACCAGTCGTGTATGAATGTATTAAAGGGGACCTATCATGCAAAATGCACTTTTTGATGTCTTTTATACATAAATATGTGTCCCCGGTGTGTCAGGGAACTCACGCAGTGTCAGAAAATAAAACCCTCTCTCTTTTCCTCCTTACCCAAATCTCTAAAAACGGGGCTACAACAGAGCTGATCCAGATTTGTGTCCGATATGACGTAATAACGGAAATGTAGGCTGACTTTACACCCACTGCCCTATCAGAAAAAATGCCCGACTGTTTTGGACGTAATATGGTCGGTGCATGTTTACATTAGCATCGCTAACACTCAGAGCTAACCTGTACTGGAGAGAGCATGTGTGTGAAGAAGCAGGAAATAAAAAGGAACTCACCTTGTGGTATAACCGGCAAGAGAGAAAGCCTTTGAGCTCCATACTGTTTCAGAAATAATCCTTGATAATCCATGATATGGCGTTTCATCACGGCAGTATTTAGTTTAGACAGTAGCTGCTGCTGCCGGGTCCCGCATGAACTCAGCCCCCTCCTTTTTTTTTATCCTTTATACATAAAATCAGCACTTTTGAAACAGGAAGTGAAATAGAGGGATATGAGGCATGGCTAGAATGGGTGATCTGTGTGGTATTTTGAGCAAAACACTTCATAGACATGTTTTTTATATATTTGTATATATCTGAGACCCATGCTATTGCCTAAAAATAGCATGATAGGTGACCTTTAAATCTGCAAAAGCTGATATCTCTGATAAAGCCTTTATATTCTTTGATTTTTTTTCAGATGATGATATTATCCTGGTGAGTCCTGTCCGTCCTGTGGCTGAGGGACTTCCTGTCACTCTTAGCTGCAAGTTAAAGACAGGAACTGCTCTTTATGATGTGGATTTCTATAAAAATGACGAACTCATCCAGAATTATAACAGAAGGGAGCTGACCATCTCTGCAGTGTCAAAGTCAGATGAAGGCTTTTATAAATGTAAACGGAGAGATTCAGCACATGGTAGGACCTCATCAGAGAGTTGGTTCTCAGTAAAATGTGAGTATGATAAAAAACAGTTTCCTCTTTTTGAGATGTGTTGCTGAGTCAGAGCTAAAAAAGACAGTTAATACTGAATTCAAAGTTGTCTTAGTTTCCTCTGAATTATACAATTTAGTTTTTTATGAGAGAAATATATTTTTCCAGTTCTGTATTCAGTCTTAAAACATTCATACAGTATGACCATGATTACATGAGCAGCATTGAAAATATAATATAGGTGAACAGGGGTTTATAGTGTATATACAGTTGAGGCCTAAATTATTAGCCCCCCAGGAGTTATGGAACATTTTCCTAAAATTCTTCCCAATGTTTCCAGCATTGATAAAACTTGATAGAATCAAATATTCACCAGTGCTATTTAGTAGCTTTTGGTATATTTTGGAAAATAAAATACGTTTTTAGGCTTGCTTTATATCAAATATAGTGAAAAATGGGTTGGTCAAAAAATATTAGCCCCCAGGCCATTAATAGTCAATAGTGTACCCTTTCTGAGCCACAACTGACAACGACCTCTTAGAGTAGTTCTTTACTAGGTTGGCACAGGTCTCTTGAGGGATTTTGGCCCATTCTTCCATTGCAAATTGTTCCAGCTGGGCCAGATTCTCAATAGGATTAAGATCTGGGCTATGTGCGGGCCACTCCAGCACCTTGGTTTTGGTGTCCTTTATGAACTGTTGGACACATTTTGATGTGTGCTTTGGGTCATTGTCTTGTTGGAAGACCCAGCGACGACCTAAGCGAAGACTAAGAGCAGATTTTTTCATATTATCCCTCAAAATGTCAACATAATTTTAATTTTTCATGATGCCTTGCACCTGAACAAGGCTCCCTGTGCCTGAGGCTGCAAAACAGCCCCACAGCATGATGTGTTCTTAGGGTTGAAGGCCTCTCCCTTTCTTCGCCAAACATAAGCAACATCCATGTGCCCAAACAGTTCCAGTTTAGTCTCATCAGACCAAAGCACAGACTTACAAAACTCATCTTTACCTTTCAAATGTTCCCGGGCAAACCTCAGTCTGGCTCTGATGTGCCACTCTTTGAGTAAAGGGGTTGTTCTGGGACGATGGCCCTGAAGCCCACCACGATGAAGAGCCCTCACAACTGTGTTCCTTGAAACATCAACTCCAGAAGAGGCCAGAGGCCTGTACTACGAAGCTGGATTTTCGCTTAGCCGGCTAAATTCAGGGAAATCTCGGGCTTTCCGGTCCTACGACGCTGGTTCTCTTTTTAGCAGGCTAGATTTCCATGGTAACTTATGCTGAGCGGCAAACCTGCTCCGGAGCAGGTTAGGTGACAGGCTAAGAGATCAACTCAGTGAAAGCACCGCCTACTGACCAATCAGAGCTCCGTGTGCGGAGTTTAAAGCTATCAATTCATATTACAGGATAGAGGAAATACAGAAAAACTGCCGTTGCAGGAAAGACAGCCGGCCAAAATCAACTGACTGTGTGAACGTGAAAATTAATACAATATCCCCTCCCATCTTCAGAGCAATCTGACTATTATAACATTAGCGTTAAGAAAGCTTACTTAAATATCTGCCACGACATAAGTAACCGGATCAGAGTAACATTAAGTACAGTCCGCGGCACTGTGAGTGCAGACGTCGATGTGTGCCATTATCATTCATATCATATCACATCATAATGTATCATATATTTCCTTATCTGAGTCAGCTGAGCCGTATCTGGCCGTGCAACACTCACAGTGTCACATACTGTATGCAGAAGTATTATTTTAAGCAACACATTAAATTGACGAAACACTCGAGTCAAATTCTCCTAATTAAAGTCAGATCCACTCGTGTCTTGGACGGGGCAGTGATTTCATAAACCTGTTAATGTACGCATTCAAACACTTTTTCTTTTACCAGCTGTATTCACCTTGCAGGTGCAGCTATGTGGCTTTTATCCTGGATAAAGTGTTTAAGACATGGATGTTTAAAGTTTAACTTCTTCATATTTGACTAATATTAAAGTTCACTTTTCATTCAGGAAGTATGACGCTGCGCTGTCAGTACGGTTGTCCGTGTTTGAGATTGGTCGAATGCTCCAAATACCACCCCTTTCATGTGAACGCGCACCTAAGTAGATAGGACACGGCTGGCTTGAGCGATCCACTTGATAACCGGCGTCGTAGTACAGCTTAGCGCCAGCGCGTATGTTTTGGCTTAGGCCAACCGGCTAACTCCAACATATCCAGGTTAAGTTGAACCAGCTTCGTAGTACAGGCCTCGGGTCAGCAACAATCATCTTGGCTGATGTCCAGGGATTCTTGCTGACATCTCTGACTATTTTCCTCTCCAGAGTTCTTGAAATCTTGTGCTTTCGACCACGCCTAGGTTTGTTTCTTACAGAATTTGTCTCCTTGTACTTCGCAATGATGCAACGTACAGCAGTTCTAGACACTGTGAAGCGCTTGGAAATTGCAGTATAGCCTTCCCCCTTATCATGAGCCTCCACTATCTTCTTTCTGAGCTCAAGACTGATTTCCTTTGTCTTTGGCATGGTGAGTAGGAGTAGTAGTATAGTCCCTCTCAATAAGGTATTCAAGTGCCTGTTTCTTGGAGTCCTTTTATGCTGATTGAATGCTCAGGTGTGGCTTGAAAGCTGATTGGTTGATTAGGTGTGGTTTGAAAGCTGATTGATTGATTAGGTGTGTTTTGAAAGCAAAAATTCACATGGGGGCTAATATTTTTGACCAACCCATTTTTCACTATATTTGATATAAAGCAAGCCTAAAAACTTATTTTATTTTCCAAAATGTACCAAAAGCTACTAAATAGCACTGGTGAATGTTTGATTATATCAAGTTTTATCAATGCTGGAAACATTGGGAAGAATTTTAGGAAAATGTTCCATAACTGCTGGGGGACTAATCATTTAGGCCTCAACTGTATATGTATATATATATATATATATATATATATATATATATATATATATATATATATATATATATATATATATATATATAGAGTAGTCTATGCCCAGCTACAGTCTTTTTTAACCACGCATGGCATTCATGAAAAGTTTCAGTCTGGCTTCAAACCCATGCACAGTACTGAAACAGCCCTTTTAAGAGTTTTTAATGATCTGCTCCTAGCCGCCGACTCAGGTAGCCCAGCTGTCCTGGTGCTGTTAGACCTGACAGCTGCCTTCGACACTGTGGACCATAGCATCCTGTTGTCGCGGCTCGAACAGTCCGCAGGCATCACAGGCTCTGCCCTTGCTTGGTTCAGGTCCTACCTGACAGACTGCAGCTTCTCAGTGCAGCTAGGTGCCTTGTCCTCTGCCAAAGCCCCTCTTACCTGTGGGGTTCCCCAAGGCTCGATTCTGGGCCCCATCCTTTTTCTACTGTACATACTGCCCCTAGATTAAATTCTCACAAAACACAACATTCCCTTCCATTGTTACGCCGATGATGTACAGATCTATCTGCCTCTCAATTCTAATGTCAACTCGTTACAGCTATTGATGAACTGCTTGACAGAGATCAAATCCTGGCTGAGCAAGAATGTCCTCAACCTCAACGAGAACAAGACCGAGGTCATCTTTTTTGGACCCCAACCTCCAGCCTCTCCGGTTGATATTCTGGGCTCCCTCAATAAAAACATCCTCCCCTCTGTCATGAACCTTGGAGTGACCTTCAATAGCGCTTTTAAATTTGATAAGCAGGTCAGCAGCGTAGTCAAAACCTGCTTTTTTTAAATACGACTATTGGCCAAGACCAAGTGGTTTTTATCTTTTAAAGACCTGGAAAGGGTTATTAACGCCTTTGTAACCACAAGGTTGGATTATTGCAACGCTCTATACGTGGGTATGGATCAGGCGTCAATTAGACGCCTGCAGCTAGTGCAGAACGCAGCTGCACGTCTTCTCACTGGCCACAAAAAGCGTCACCACATCACCCCAATTCTGGCCTCACTACACTGGCTTCCAATTAGGTTCCGTATTGATTTTAAACTCCTTTTATTTGTTTTCAAAGCACTAAATGGGCTGGCTCCGGCCTATATAGCAGAACTCCTCCATCGCTACACCCCAGCCAGAGCATTAAGGTCGGCTGACCAGCTGCTGCTGGTAGTGCCCAAGAACAAGGCTCAAAACCTGAGGTCATCGAGCCTTCGCAGCAGCTGGCCCTAGGCTCTGGAACACTCTGCCCCTCCATGTGAGGTCGGCCCAGACCCTAGGGGTTTTTAAATCAACACTAAAAACTCACTTCTTCTCCCTGGCCTTCTAGTCAGAGCGGAGCACGACTCATGACATTTCCCTGTGTTTGATTTTTATATTTGCTGTTGTAATTTATTGTCTTCTGTTTGCGATTGTAGTAATGTGTTTGGCTCGACCAAAAATCGTTGGTCCGACCTTGAAGCTCTGTTCCTGTGAAGTGCTTTGAGGAAAGTGTTATATATAAAAATAATAATTAAGGTTATTTATATTAGCAGCTTCTCGGCCTGGAAAAGCCTCTCAATTTCCCGTCCTGTTGACTTTTGGGCTGCTTTGTGGAGTTTTACTGATAATTCTCCCGCTGCTGTTCCTGTATCGCTACCGAAAATCAAAAGGTAAGAACCTTTTCATCTGATATCAAATGAATTAAACTATAATTACTCAAAATCACACATTACATGTACCGGAAATATTTGCAATTCAAAAACAATGTAACTAAGTTTTTCTTGTATTCAACAGATTCAGTCTTCATCAGGTCGGTACAACCCTCTTTTATCTCATTTTGAACATTACAGCAGTTATATGTTAAATTCAATCCACTTCATTATCTTCATGTGCATGGCCCACAAGATCTCAGAGCACCAATCAGGGCCCTGCTACAGACCACAAGATCAACCAGGATGAAATTCAAAACATGCCAGAATATTCTACTCTCCTCCATGGTCAGCCCTTCTCCGGCTTAATCATATGATTTATTTTAACTCCCAGCCTTAATTGTGATTAAAATGATTGGTGTAACCATGGCTTGATTTTCACTTCTCTGTAGGTGATCGTTGTCTCTATGAAACAATCGGAGGGCATGTAGAAGCTGGAAATGGTACAGTATTTAATTTGTGTTTAACATGGAGTAATACAAATACTACAAGCAATGGTTGAGATGCTTTTTTAGGCCAGCAGTCTCTAAATAAAGTACAGGAATTGTCCTTTGATACATTATTTTAAATCTTCTAACAGGTTCCAGTAATGAACCAGAAGAGAGCCTTTACATAAACGTGGCTGCAGGTAAAGTCACGTAAAAAACACTTTTATATATATACACATAGATATACTAAAAGCTTTTATTGTGTGCTGTGCTGCTTGCCAGTTTCAGCAATGAGCAAATCCACCAAATAAAGCTTTTAAACTTCTTGTGCATTTTCATGTCTTTCTTATATACAGCATATTGTTTTACAGACATGTTGTGGTTTAATGAAACATTACTTAAAACATCTTAACTAATAAATGGCAAATTTAAATATGTTCAAACACAAATGAGTTGGCATTAACATACATTGTTGTATTCAAAAACAGTACCATGAGCAGAAAGTACCCAATGACAATAACTTATTTTGGTTTTCTTCCAGATCAATAAAGACATCCTCATGGACAGGACAATGGAGCGGATAAAAACTTGAAAAGCATCATCCTTGTTTCAGCAATTGAGTGTATTTGCTGCTTTTGTGTAAATAGCGCAGTGCCTTTTTAAATAAAGGCCTTTCTAGGAACATGCTAAATGCTTTGCAATTCAACTGTATACTTACTTTCTGTGTACTTATATTTAGTGTAAAACATTGTATTACAACATTATTTGTTACATGTCTGATTCAGATCATGTGGCTCTAACCTTGTTGTACATTTTGTGATATTAGAGCCAGATACTAATATATGCAGTATGGACACATGCTTTAGCACTGTAGATGCACACAGTGGACACACAAATATATTATGAATAAAACCCAAATGCAATTATACCTGCATGTACTGTTCAGTGAATGATTCTTACTAGATGCTACCACAGGGTGCCAACAAATGATCTAATGCCTTTAATTTATCTGCAGAAGTAGTCTCTTGCAAAAGCCAAAACATCTGAAGTCACAGCGCCACCAATAGGTCAAACAAGATGTTCAGATTCAAAGGAACTGAAGCACACACCTTTTGTACAGTGTATTTGTTTTCTTTCAGATTTTTGCGGCATGTTTTTTGTTTTGTATTAATAAACATAACTTTGATTATCTTATCTCATATTTTTTAAATTTATTTAGTGATAAAGGAGTTACAAGACAAGTGCATACATGTACAGTGTCACCTATACACAGAATACAATAAGGAGCATTTACAAGTATACAAAATATACACAGACAAAAAAAGAAAACAAAAACTGTGTGTGTGTGTGTGTGCGCGTGCGCGCGCTTGAGGGATTAGACAAAAAGAGTAATAAATGACTGAATTATAATTAAAATGAAATGAGTAACAATATAATAGTCATATATCCTAGGAAGGGGGCGGGCATATAAATAGTAGCATGACCTTAAAGAAGTAGAAAGGGGTGGTGGCTGAAATCGTATTGAGGATTATTAATTAAATGTATCAATGAATGTGTCAGGGTTGAGTAAGCAGGCAGGACCCAAATGCAGATTTCCAAGAATAGTCCTTTATTCCAAGGTACAAAGTAGAAACACAGAACACTACCCTGTGACACACAGTCAACTACAAACAATGAACCAACCATGACAGACAGAAAAACCAGAACTAAAATACACAGAAGACCAATCACACAAACAAGACACAGGTGAGGAGGGAGGAGAAAACACAGGGGCACCAGGTGAACACAATCGGGCAATTAGGCAGGACAGGGGTGAACACTTTTCAAAACAAAACAGGAAACCAAAGACAGAAAAAGACAAGACAAAACCCAACACAGACAGATCGTAACAGTACCCCCCCCTCAAGGGACGGATCCCAGACGTCCCAAAAAGTCCCAAAAAGTCCAAAACATTCCAGCAGGGTGGGTGGAGGGGGTCTGGAGGAGGGACGCACAACCAGGACCAACAGGGTGGGTGGAGGGGGTCTGGAGGAGGGACGCACAACCAGGACCAACAGGGTGGGTGGAGGGGGTCCGGAGGACGGGCCCGGAAGGGGTCCCGGGCGGACGGCCCGGGAGCAAGGCAGAGTCCAAAAAGGGGCGAAGGCCACAGCGGGCGAACTCGGGGACCCAGGCATGAGAGCGAAGGCAGTGGTTGGGAGAGTCAGGGGGCCGGGCTCGAGGGCGAAGACCACGGCTGGGGAACTCAAGGGGCCGGGCTCGAGGGCGAAGGCAGCGGCTGGAAGAGTCAGGGGGCCGGGCTCGAGGGCGAAGACCACGGCTGGGGAACTCAGGAGGCCGGGCTCGAGGGCGAAGACCGCGGCACTCAGGGGGCCGGGCTCGAGGGCGAACAAGAAGGCGTCTACGGGACAGCTCCGGAGGACGGGCAGGAAGGCGCTGACGGGACAGCTCCGGAGGCCGGGCAGGAAGGCGCCGACGGGACAACTCCGGAGGCCGGGCAGGAAGGCGCCGACGGGACAGCTCCGGAGGCCGGGCAGGAAGGCGCCGACGGGACAGCTCCGGAGGGCGGGCAGGAAGGCGCCGACGGGACAGCTCCGGAGGGCGGGCAGGAAGGCGCCGACGGGACAGCTCCGGAGGGCGAGCAGGAAGGCGCCGACGGGACAGCTCCGGAGGCCGGGCAGGAAGGCGCCGACGGGACAGCTCCGGAGGCCGGGCAGGAAGGCGCCGACGGGACAGCTCCGGAGGCCGGGCAGGAAGGTGCCGACGGGACAACTCCGGAGGACGAGCAGGAAGACGCCGACGGGACAGCTCCGGAGGCCGGGCAGGAAGGCGCCGACGGGACAGCTCCGGAGGCCGGGCAGGACCCAGTATCGGCCGGACAGGAACCGGAGCCGACGGGACAGGCGTAGACGGGATCCTGAACATGACATGGGCTGGTGTCAATGGGACCCCGGATGGAGCAAGGGCTGGTGTCGACTGGACCCCCACGGAACAGGACACAGAGTTGGCAGGACCCCCGGCGGGACAGGTGTCGGCGGGACCCCCAACAGGACAGGATCTGGTGTTGGCAGGAAATCCGGCGGAGCAGGTGTCGGCGGGACCCCCAACGGGACAGGACAAGGGGTTGGCAGGACCCACAGCGGAACAGGTGTCGGCAGGACCTCCAACGATACTGGACGTGGAGTTCGCAGGACCCTCGGCAGGAGAGTTGTCGGCGGAACCCCCAACGGGACAGGACATGGAGTTGGCAAGACCCCCGGCAGGAGAGTTGTCGGCGGGACCCCAAACGGGACAGGACATAGGATTGGCAAGACCCCCGGCAGAAGAGTAGTCGGCGGGACCCCCAATGGGACAGGACACGGAGTTGGCAAGACCCCCGGCAGGAGAGTAGTCGGCGGGACCTCCAACAGCACTGGACATAGGGTTGGCAAGACCCCCGGCAGAAGAGTAGTCGGCGGGACCTCCAACGGCACCGGACACAGGACCGGCAGGACCCCCGGCAGAAGAGCAGTCGGCGGGACAGGACATGGAGTTGGCAAGACCCCCGGCAGGAGAGTAGTCGGCGGGACCTCCAACAGCACAGGACATAGGGTTGGCAGGACCCCCGGCAGGAGAGTAGTCGGCGGGACCTCCAACATCACAGGACATAGGGTTGGCAGGACCCCCGGCAGGAGAGTAGTCGGCGGGACCTCCAACATCCCAGGACATAGGGTTGGCAGGACCCCCGGCAGAAGAGTAGTCGGCGGGACCTCCAACGGTACAGGACATGGGGTAGGCGTCGGCCGTAGAGCCAACAGGACACGGGGGGCTGGCGTCGGCCGGAGAGCCAACAGGAGACGGGGTGCTAGAGTCGGCCGGACCACCGACAGGACACGAGGGGCTGGAGTGGGCCGAACCACTGACAAGACACGAGGTGCTGGAGTCGGCCGGACCACCGACAGGAGACGGGGTGCTGGAGTCGGCCGGACCACCGACAGGACACGAGGTGCTGGAGTCGGCCGGACCACCGACAGGACACGGGGGGCTGGCGTCGGCCGGAGAGCCAACAGGAGACGGGGTGCTGGAGTCGGCCGGACCACCGACAGGACACGAGGGGCTGGAGTGGGCCGAACCACTGACAAGACACGAGGTGCTGGAGTCGGCCGGACCACCGACAGGAGACGGGGTGCTGGAGTCGGCCGGACCACCGACAGGACACGAGGTGCTGGAGTCAGCCGGACCACCGACAGGACACGGGGTGCTGGAGTCGGCCGGACCACCGACAGGACACGGGGTGCTGGAGTCGGCCGGACCACCGACAGGACACGAGGTGCTGGAGTCGGCCGGACCACCGACAGGACACGAGGGGCTGGAGCGGAATCCACCGGTGGACTGGAGGAGGCAGGAAATGCAGCAGAAGACGTCAAAGTCGAGACCCGAGCAGCGAGGCCCGGGAAGCATAGAGCCAAGGACCGCTGGCTTTCCTCAAAGTCTCGCCACGCCTGCTCATGTTCCTGAGAAATGGCGTGCTGGAACGGAACAGAGGGCGGAACCATGGCTGCCGGGGCCAGAACTGGGGCTGGAACCATGGCTGCATGGGCCGGTTCTGGAGCCGGAACCATGGCTGTTGGGGCCAGAACTGGGGCTGGAACCATGGCTGTGTGGGCCGGTTCTGGAGACGGAACCATGGCTGCTGGGGCCTGTACTGGAGCCCAAAGCATGGCTTCTGGGGGTCGGGCTGCTAGCCTGGACTTGCGACTCCTTCTCCTAGGAGCCTTTTGGAGGCTCCGTGGACCTCCAAAAGCCAGACGAGTGCCCGCGAACGGCTCCTGGACAGGAGCAGGAAATGGGGAAGAAGCAGGGGTTGACTTCAGACGGAAC